AGATCGTTACTTGTGGCGGTTTTGGAAGGCACGTAGGCATGTATTAAATAGTGCCCGGGGGAATGGATGGGGGTGGACCGCATAGGTTTTGAGTTTTGGAGGCTTGAATGGTTATTAATAATGTTCCGTCTTCCACAATGGCTCTCTTAGGCCGGCAGGGACCAGTCAACTTGCCAAAACGGACCAGCTGAGGTATGTTTGTCCTCAAGGCTATCGCTTCTTAGCACCTCCCTACAAGTGTTCTGGCTTGTCCACCGGCAAGCAGCCAGCCGCTTGGTGCGAAGTGGACGAAGTGGGCCCTAAGTGGTCAAAGTTTGCTGCTAGGAGGGGAAAGGGACAAACAACAGTCACCAAACATTCGCGATGTTTTACCAGGTTCCTACCTGGCACCATGTATGCCAAACAGATCTTCGCAGACGGCCGGCCCCGACAGTTTTCTTGTTCTAGTTCAGACTCCGATCAACAAGCACATTGGATACATTGGTTCTTCAATCCCAGGATCCAGAGCATTGCTGAGTGGAACGATTGATTACGAATGACCCTGTATTTGAAAAAAAAAAAAGTTTGCTAGCTCATGCTAGCGCCACGGACCGTCGATCCATTGGCCAGAAACGCACTGTCCCCCGAAATTCGGACGCCGCGGGGAGCCGCGGAAGCATCGATGTGCTTCGAACATCGGGTCCTTCCTTGGAAGCCATCGATCAAACCCCAAACCGGAAGAGCAGTCAGACACTCCGAGCTGCGCAAGTGTCCAAGACGTCACCAGAAAAGTTGCACAGCCCGAGCTCATGCGTTTTTTTGGGGTGGCTTTCGCCGGCCCAGAGAGTGCCAAGGAGGTCGAGGGGAAGAAAGGCCGCCGCCGCAGGGAGCAAACCAGCCTTGAAGAAGGCGCATGAGGGGCAGGGGAGATGGATGAGTTGATGATATAGATGGATGCACCCAAGAACCCTTTGCTTCAGCTCAAGGGTGGCGCGAATATATGTAGACTTTAGGAGGCGATTGAGGGAGAGAGGAAACCAGTTCCCAGTGAATATTATTTGGTGAAAATATTATTTGGCGAAAGGAACTGGCGACTTCCCAGTCACAACCACACATTCACTCCAGCTTCGACCGCCGAATTGGGGCAGAAAACCCGACAGCTTGTGAAAACGGAGTGGCGTTCGCGCCCACAATCCCACGAGGTCTCATGTCCACTCACTGAATGGTGAACTTCCTCAACCCAATACTCCCCTGCAGATTGACAGGAATCATGGCCGAAACCACCACACATGTCGTTCTTCTCGGGTTCCATGATGTTTCCATGTGAGTTTGTGAGGCCATCCATGGTGATCTGCACTGACAAAGATCCCCCCAAAAGGCGGCTTAACCGCGATCAAGGCGTCTTGAAGACGTCTTCAGTGACGCCCAGGGCGGAAGGCTCCCACCCCGGTAGCCATGGCTCTATCCGAGCACCGACCAGGTCATGCCTCGTTGCTTCGGACGTCCCATCCCTTTGCCGTCCCCGAGACAACGCCTTGGGACGTCGCGACGCGGGTTTCCTCAGGCGAGTATGAGTCGGTGCCCTTGTGCGGGTATCGGCTCTATGTGCCCTGCGTTCAACACCGACGCCAGAAAGGCGAGGGTTTGTTCGTCAGCAGGGTATGATGGTAAAGGGGGAATCGGAACGTCGACGTGAGATGTCCACATTACTTGAGTCATGAATAGCCGTCAACATGTTTTACAGATGTCGGCATGGTATGGCATGGTTGGACTTCGAACTGGCCTTGTAGCTTGCATGTCTTCTCGCGCCTGATCTTATTCAATCCAGCTTTGCATGCTCATCGGTTGAGTGTCAACCACCGACCACGGGCCCCCATTTCCGCCTTAAGTCGGTTGGACCGCATGCTGGCCTGTCAGATATGGAACTTCCAGCAATTCGGCAATGGATTCCAACAGCAGGTAGCTGCATCCACAGGCTACCTAGACCCCTGGACCTGTCCTCATCGGAGGTCGCCGGGGCGATCCTCCTTGCATCAGTCAGTTGACGCGGATTTGGGCGCCGAGCTGAGCAAACACGCGGACTTGGCCTTTGTCCCAGTCCCTCCCACACTGACTGACCTCTTGGTATTAGTATACTGATGTATACTGTAAGTGGGCAAACCCATTGGACGCCCCAGCAAAAACATGGATACTGTAAGCATTTGTAAGATTCTTTAAGCAATTTTGTTCCATAATTGTTCACCCATACAAACCGTTGGTTCTCCCCAGCGAAACCATCACCTGCACCATCCATGCGATGCCATTCCTGCCTTCCTCCAGGTGCAGACGCCGCACCGACGCGAGCTGATCCAAGCAGAGCCCCGCGTCGCCATCGTCGACACCAAAGGACGAAAAGCGAACGCGGAGAGCGGACAACACGTGGTGCCTGAACACAAGTGTGGAGTGGAGACAGATGAGGCTGTGAAGTGGTAGGTGTGCTTAATTAACGGTTGCCAGAGATTGGGAGAGTTCGCTTGGCGACAAGTTTGTCAAATTTAATCAGACTTAAGCATCCAGAGATATCCAGAGTGCTTGGACTTCCATGTTTGCCGGCTGATTTGTTTTATTTACTCTGAATTCTGGAACAAAAATCAACTGATTCTGTGAAACTGTGAGTAATTCAGACCATTCCAGAGCTCGATTTTTGCTTTGTGCTTCGATTGTTGGGGTACAAATTCGACTGGTCGGGTCGGTCTGAGACCAGGAGAAGTGGGATCCGATGGGAGGCCCAAAGAGGTCATCATGACAGGCGACCGGGACAGCGGAGCATGCTGCGCAGTCCGCAGCGGAGCGGCGGAGCGTGGATGCAACTCAGACACCGGAGCGGTCCGTCAACAAGACCAGTGTGACTATAGTGGAACTTGGGGTTGGAGAGGTCACCATGTTTGTGCCATTGCAAGGTGATTTATAGTGGTTGGGACGGGAACGGACTTCGCGACGAAAGTGGAATTTTCACTGATGACCATTGGAATATAGGTTAGCTCTCTGCTGTGAGAACCGTGTGGATTTGAAGTCAGGGAGGCTTTTTTTCCCGGTGATTGGTGCTTGTTGGCTGCTCATGTCCGACCCAAGCTGCGTCGCTATGTTGCTCGGATCCAGCACCCGACCTTCGCAGGTGGGAAAGTCGTCTTGCCCGCGGGCATGTTGGTGCAGCTGGTATTGCCGTATGCCTACTTCCGCACCTGGGACTGTAGGGTGATGGAGGGGTGGAAGGGAGTGGGTCGTCATGGTTGCAAATCCAAGGCAATCGCTATATAGGTTGTGAAGGTAAATGACATCCTAGTTTAGGGAAGAAGCAGCTCACCAACATTCCAAAGCCTGAACAAGTGTCATGTGGTGAAGCCATGTGTTTTGGTGTGCTCAAATCACCGGAATGGAAAGTATGGTCCAGTTTGGATCTGTGGAACCAATTGAAAAGGACTTCCAAAGTTATATTACAAAGAGAACAAAATGTTACTATGTACTGATCTATACTGTGTATAGATCCAAATTATAGAGACTAGGTTTCATAATGCATTACTGTATATAGATCTGTATATTGGAAAAGCTTTCATAATGAATGCATGGAACTCAGTTCCTCCTCCCAAGGCGCCGACACGCCGCTGCCGAGCTTCTGGGACTTGGGCCACGACGCGGAGCGCTGTCGCTTGTGGCTCGGGCCGAAGACGACGCGGGAAAGGGCGGGGAGTATAGGGAAGCTCCAAGAGATTTATATAGAACAGTTTATAGAACTTAGATGAATTGTATATTGAATGAACTTATATATGGACCATATCATGGTGAACATCGAACGTGCACCTGCATTATCATAGTTTATCATGCAGTGTTCCCCGGACAAATGACATCATGGTGCTTTTTGTGGCTTGGCCAGCTTGGCTGCTTCGGGGTTTACTTCCATGAGGTTTGCTGACAATTTGTTTATATACACCTTTTGCATTAGAAGCACTGAAAACGGACGACCATGTCCATGTTTTGCCAACAGATTCTTCTTGATTGGCAGGGAATGTTGTAAAGCCTTGGGGAACTCTTCAGAATGGCGCATCGCAGGCGCATTTATGTTTCAACATTGTCCAACTGTTCCTCGAGCTCGTTGTTCAGCAGCTCAGGTTGCCCTACTTGTTGACCTTGCGACGCCCATCCTGATCCGTCAGTTCGTGAGACCAACCTTATTTCGATCTGATTCGTTCAGTGGAATCAGCCTGATCTCAGCGCTGCATAGCACTGCGCATAGCACTGCGCAGTTCTGCGCCCGGACCAATGGGGGCCTGAGCTGGAACAAATGGCTGGAAGGGATTCCGAGGCTCGTCGAGGTGAAGGAGAAGTAGCGCTGGACTTCGTTGGAGACGGCCGTGAAGGGCGAAGTAGAGCGCCTCACTTCCGGTCTCACTCGTCTCACGCCTGAGGGGAACCCAACTGTGGAGAAATTGGGCACTGCAGCTGGTCGTTTGGGCCAACTTCACTGGGCTCCCAAAGGGTTAGTGGTTATGTAAACGAAGTTCTGAATATCTCTGAATCGTTCACCAGCATCGATTTTTCAACATGCGGTTCCCAGGTTCATTGCAATTCTTGGCCAATGAGCACAAAGCGAGGAGAGGTCCCAACCCGCTTGAAGCAAAAAGGGGCGAGCTGACGCGAGACATGTCCGGGATTGGGTTGGCGACGAATAGATGCTTTGAATAGATGCCCAGGGGGCCGGGAAGAACCGTGTTGTACAACTAACGTAGACTCAAACCCATGGGTTGGCCGGACATGATTCCAGGCCACGCCTTTTTTGAAACTGATTGCCAGGCTATTTCCGGTGATTGACTATTTTCAACTGTTTGACATTGCTCTATAGACTATGGACTCTTGACTCTAGCTGCTAGCTTTAAAAGATTCATAAAGATTCCTACATCTTTGGTGGGAGTGGCTCACCTCCCAAGTGTTCAGTTGCCTGATACACTCCTCAATAGGTCGATATGGCCCGATGTGGAAACCCCGAGGCCCACATCAACCTGGCTGCCATCGCCAAAGAGGAGTGATCATGTGCTGACCAAGTGGCGAGTTAGTCCGACCGCGAGTTGGTCGCAATGTTAAATGACTCAAATGCCCATCCTTGATTGGCTAGCCCATGTGTTTCCTCAGAGTTTCGTGTAGCTTGTGTATTGGGTGGTAGCTGGCTGCTATCAGCAAGTGAGAGGTTCCTGGTGCTGTGCGCTAGCTGCGCCAGCCACTCCCGCACCAGATTGATTTTGTTTGCCAAAAAGGTTTGTCACATTCACATCCTTTTGTAGCAACATTCGAACATCCTTCATCACTTATCGTACTTGGGCAAGGGCCCTGGTAGTACCCCTACTGACAATCTCAGCAATTGTAGAATGCATTGTCGAAGGATCTCCCGTTCGGATTGTTCTCTAAGACATGCCCCTACATAGTTTATGTGTAGGCTGTCGTGTTTTGAAGACCAGTCAACCATAGTTAAGCCATGTTAAGCCCAAATTTGTTGCTGTTCCAGTCACCTTCTTCATCACCCGTTTGTCAATCGACGGCACGTGCCTGTCTTTTTGCAGGAGAGATCGGAGGCTTGGCATGCGCCTTCTTTAAGTCACAGTTGACACAGAGGACAACCCAGGAACCTGCGGAAGAAATCAATTCCCAAAGGCAGAGAAAAGACATGTGCCTAAGACTAACCTGTTGCCTGAAATCTGCTGGGCATTTGATGAAGTCTACTGGGCACTTGGATGAATGGTTTGAGGCTGTATTTTTCAGATTGTACGGACTCCAGGAGGATAAGATAGGATGAGTGTAGAGCTGCACGCTCAACAGTCAGTTGATTTGTCGGACCTGTACGTGTTTGCATGTTTTTCACTTGCTTTTTGGGAGGGCGAGTGAGTAGGGGATGCTATTGAAAGCAAAGAGTAAGGATCACATATACGGTTCCCAGTTGGCCGACGGAAAGAATGGCTTACAGTGACGCGTCCGGGGTCCCTCAGACGACGTGCGCAGGCAGAGCAGGGAGCTGCAGAGGCGGAAGTCAGAGAATCTGATGTCATGACTTGGGACAGGATGGGACCAGGGTTGCCATGTTTTAACATCCTTTGTTCGACCTTTTAGAAAGGATCATTTGCCTTGAAGGTATTTCAAGGCTGGTGCCTGGAGGTGCCTCACCACCTGACTCATTCAGATCTGCCTTAGCTGGGACACCTCACCTGAAACCGGACCCCTTCTGGACCACTTCATGGGAGAACAAGCATCTCTCTCAACCAACGGTCGGAGGAGAACCAAACGTCGCCACGTTCGGGGAGAGCCCGGACAGCCGGAGGGGACGACACCAGCGACACGTTCCGTGGCCGAGTTGGGCGGCAGGTGCAGTTGATTCAGCACATCTTCGACAAAACGATGCCCGGCAGAAAGGGAGGACCATGTGAACATAAGAACATCAGCGGGGATGCCATGCATGAAGGTAAGGACATGAACGACATGAACTGGGATGTCGTCGGGTTTGTTGATCCGCTCCTCCCCAGTAGTGGGGGAGTGCGAGTGCGGCGCCCACTGTGTGAGTCTGGCAACCCCTATTTGGCATGTTCCAGAAAGAAAGACCACAGCTTTGAATCGAGTTTTTTCCTCAGTAATATCAGTAATGTTGAAAGTTCCACAGCTTTCCCATCCAAGATCTGTATTCAGACCCGCCCTCCGCTGGCGACTAGCACGCACCGACCCTTCAGACGGCCCCACCGCTGCGCAGCACGACCCGTTTCCGTCCAGGAAGGTGGCGATTCGCTCCTGGGGCCGCTACGTGCCGTGGCCGGTGGTGCAAAACCTCCTGGTTGCCGGCGTGGCGGTGCAAACGCAACTGGAGGAGCGAGAGGCGGGGTGGAAGGCGGCGGGTGGAACGCCAGCTGGGTTGGGTGGCTTGCATGATGTTACAGTTCTTATATAGGATTCTTATAGGTATCAAAACCATTCCTTGACCTGTTTTTTAAAAACACATATCCTATATAGGCACAGTCAGTGACCGCCATGACTCTTCGGTGCGACCTGCGCACCGCTCACCGCGCTATGGTCGGTCCCGTGATGCTTCCGGAGGTCGATTCCATCGCCCTTTCCTCTGGTCAGTGTCAGGTGTTCTCATGGCTCACCATGTCAGCTCTCCCCTCTCATCTTCGGTGCAGGTGAGCCTCTTCTTTTCTGACATGGCAGGATTCACAAGCGACTTGGCTGCCAGACCGGCACCAGCCCTGGCGTTGTGCACCGCGAGAACCCTCGCGAGCTGGCGTCCTGCCGCCGCGGGTTCCGCGGACATGTCGAAGAGAAGAGATGAGGCGTTGGCATGCTTGGCATGGACCTGGTCTAAGACCATCAGTTCCTTTATGAACAGGTTTTCCACTTCAGGCGTCTGGGCTCAAGGTCCTTCGCCTTAAGGAGCGGCTGGGTCCCTGGGGCTGAGCTGCCACTCTCGCGAGTGGGGTTCAGCGTCCACTAAGGTCTTGTGGCCAACCCTTCCTGCGTTTGTGCTGGTCACTTGATCTTGTGGTGATTTGCCATGGCATTGGATGCTTTGTTCCGCCTTGCTGCGGACTCACTTTCTGGTGAGAGACTGGTGCTCTACAGAGATTTCCTGGAAGGCCATCGGAGGTGCAGTACCATGCTCAGGCGTGGGTGCTCGGTGGTTCTTGCAGGAAAGGTCATTGAGATCCTTGATGAGTCCATGAAGCTTCAATGCCTGCGGTTCACTCCTTGGGAAGGCCTGAGCCCTTGTGATGAGTCCGAACTCATGACAGTTGTGGTGCCCCGCTTGCGTCAGCGCTCATTCAAGGCGGAGATTGGGCATGAGATCACCCTGTTTGGGACAATCACAGACAAGAGTGAGGCTCCTGTTTGGGTATTCGATGATGATGTGCTGCTGGTGCATCGCACCCAGTTCGACAACTCCCTTCCTATTAATGCGCTACATCTGTTTTCCGGAGCATTTTGTGGCTGGTCGAGAGCTTTGTCATGGATTGGAAAGAATGTCCCGGAACTCAAGACAGGCACCCAGACATTTGTGGATGCTGATCCAGTTGTGATGTCTGCGTGGGCACATCAACATCGGCAGATCCACCATTCTGGCTTGACAAGAGCAGATGCTACATGGGATCCGTCCAACGAAATTGGCATATGTTCGTCTGTGGCTGATTGCACTGTGCTGAGGCATTGCCAATGGACAACAAATGCTATCTCCACGGCTTCCCCACCATGTGTAAGCTGGTCCCGAGGTGGGAAGTTGTTTGGCATGGACTGCCCACAAGGCTTCGCGGCTTTTGAGACGATTCTGCTGATTGAATTGCAGCAACCGATGCTTGTGTTTTTTGAATGTGCGGATGAAACGGTCTCGCACCAGCATTTTCCGCTGCTACAGAATGCACTTAAGCTCATCGGGTATGTACAGATTTGGCAGCAAATCGTTCCTCTCCACCAGCTCACCCACAATGCAAGAACGAGGTGGCTCGCAGTCTGGAAAAGATTTGACATGTCTTGTCTCCCGTATGGGTCCACTCTTGTGCCGCGCGCTCCGCCCCTTACTCCGTGGCATTCCAGTTTGAATCATTTCTGGATTCCTGATGACATTCGCCAACAATTGCAGTCAGGGGCTGATGCTATCACCTGCTATGGGGACCCTCAGCTTCTGCCACCAGCGAAGCGAGCAAGATTGTCCACCGGGTCACCTCATGAAGTGTTGCTCAAACGGGTGCCTGCCTACAATGAGGCCCTACCAACGCTTTGTTGTACTTACACCAAGCAGCACAATCTCGAGGCATGTCACCTTGCTGACAAGGGCATTTTCGCATCCATTGTGAAAGAAGGGGACGGTTTTGCTTTTCTCAATCCACTGTCCTTTGTGCCACTGTTTGGCGCGACAGACAAAGTTTCATTGCCGTGTGATGTTTCCCAAGCATTCCACCTTCTTGGAAATGCTATTGCACAACCGCATGCTACTTTAGGCCTAGCAGTCGGTCTCATTGCCTTGTCGAAAGCCCAGGTCCAAGCACTCGATCTTGTCCAAAGGTCATGGCATGATCGCCTCACAGCTGACAATGCAATTGTCCATCGCTCAGGTGATTGGATTGAGGTCCACAGACGTGATGATTTCCTTCGCTCGATCGATTTCAGGTTTTACCTGCTCCCTGACCCAAGTGTTGTGTATGTTTGCCTTCGCACACAGCTTTTGCTGAAAGAGAGCCATCGTGACACAAGTGTTCCATGCACTTCGACCCTCCTCCAGGCGCTAAAGCAGATCCTCACGATTGATGAGTGTGACCCTGCTGCCATCAGGTTCATTTCGGACACCGAGCAAGACCTTTCGGAACAGACTGCCGAAACAGCACTCCAGGTTACAGATACCATTCGTTGCCCATGGCATAATGAACCTTTTGCTCTGTTCTGCCGAGGTGAGGGTCGCTTTGTTGAGACAGTTCCTCCCCCGGAGGAGTTGCCCCCAACAGTGCCCTTTTCGGTTGTCGAAGATGGTCCAGTGAATGTCATCGATTGCCAGCCGCTCTCTTTTGATGAGCTTCGTAGGCATGAATCGTTCCAGGAAGCCCTGACATGCTTTGAGCACCTGTTCAAAGTTCTGCAGGAGTCAACAGGACCCCAACAGCTCGCTGCACTCGCATGGGAGCACCCGCCTCTTCTGTTTGCTGTTACGATCGACCAACAAGATCCGCTTGGTTGTGTCCAGACTCAACTTGACCTTCTCTTTCCCGGCAAGTTCTCGGTCTTTCTTGGCCCTGGTCGTCTCAAGCAAATTGCTGATGGTCCCTTTCTTTTGGTTCGTAGCCGAAACCACAACGATGATGCCCTTGTTGCTTTGGTTGAGATTTCGCCTCGCACTGTGGTTCACCTCAAAGCTGTTCCCAAACAAATTTGCGGACAGTGCAAGATTGTCACACCGAAAGGGGACTTTATGCTGGTGACCCACAACTTTCGTGCCATCACTTCGCCCACCTTCTGCTTCACAGGTGACATCTTGGTGATCGACAGGCTGCAAGACCGCCCTGTCTTTGCAGGGGGCCACCACAACTCAGAACGGCCGGTCGCTCAACTTCCAGCCGGTGCCACTTTCCCACAGAGAGTTGCTTTCGCTGTTGAGACTCATGGCTGGGCTGCCTCAGATGAGCTTGAGAATGCCTTCAAGATTTTGAGGACTTTGGAGCCAAACTTTATCCAAGCCTGTGGTTTCATGAGGTGGGACCCCGCGCTCAGTGAGTTTGATGAGGGTGCATTTGAGGAAGTTCATTTTGCCCCTCTGGGCTGCACATGCCTCCTCTTGCTTGTGGGCTGTCATTGGGCTCTCATCCAGGTGATGCGAACGACCCATGAAACCAGGATCCGTGTAGCCGGCCTTCCGCAACAATGTGCTCAGCGTGCAGCTGTCATCACATGTAGAATGTTAGACATTGCTCCGCACAGGGCCGCCTTGGACTTTGACTTCCTTCGGCCACCGGAGCATATGTGCGGCTGGACCATCATGTTCCAGCTCTACACCAAAGCCGAGATTCTGGATCACCTTCCTGACGCCAGCTACTTTTGGGGCATCCTAACCATTGAGGAACGCAGACAAGTCAATGATATGCTCATTGCCTCGCAACAGCACTGGACCCAAGCCAGAGCCGATCCGTCCTGCGTGGTTTTGCCTTCCAGTTGAGGCTCGACTTCTTTTGCCAGCTTGCCCTACGAGGACGTGACAATGATCCGGTCACCACAATCCCCCTTGACCCAGCCTTCCCAAGAGGCAATCCAAATACCGGCGCCACATCATCCAGTCTTCCGGGACGCCCCCTGAGTGTGAGGCTGCCCCTCACCGATGCCACAGCCCAAACAGAACAAGGCAACATCATTCTTCAGAGACTCCAAGCTACCAGCCCCAACGGTGGCTTTTCTCTGATGCCCTCGACTACCACTGTGAACTCCTGCGATTGCACATTCCAGCTGCCCAATTTGCACCACCAGCTCGATGGCACCCAGAGACCAGTGAGCTCAGCTTCCTGAATGACTTGACCTGTCGTGCGGCATCCTTTGAGAGCACTATTGTCCCTATCCTTTGGGAGCAGCACTGGATCATGTGCGAGCTCTATCGTGATGGGTGGGATTTCAACTTCATTGTGAGAGGTCCTGATGCTCTTCAACCTCTATGCAACCAGCTTGCCACGGATGTTGCTGCAAAGGTGATGCATGATGGCGCAGTCCTGCATGTCACGTTCATCCGCACGAATCCACCACCCCACCTGTGTGGTTGGACGATGCTCTTTGACCTGTACCGGAGGTTCGGAACCTTGATGCCTATGCCCAGTTCACGCTTGCTCAATGACCTTCGCACTAGTGCCTATGCTCCATGGCATGTTTGGGTGCATGAACAAGCAGTGCGCCAATGGGGTGCTGACATTGATCCTACGCTGCGTACCTTTGCTTCCTCAGGCCTCTTGTTGCACCTCGGTCGCATCGATCAAGCAAGAATTCCACAGCAGTACCAAGCAGCTGGAGCAGTCAGCAGCTCGACACCGACAGATCCTGCAGTTGATCCCCTCACGGTGCATGACCCTTGGGCCAAGAAGGCACCTCCTTCCCGCTGGGAGGATCTCCGTCTTGGAACAACTCATCCCTTCCACAATGAGAAGGGTGAACAATTGGATCAGCTTCACGGTTTGCAGGCGACGGGGCATAATGGTGGCATTGTCTTGACAACAAAACAACACTTGTCTGAGCTGATCAAGTTAGGAACGAAGCATCCTTTCGTCGCCCTCCTGCCTCAGCTGGACGATTCCTCGAAAGCAGCTCTTGGTGTTGCAGCCCACGGCCCATTTGAGGTGATCTTGTATGATAAAGCTGCTGGACAAACTTATAAGAGAATCACGCATGCGGTGGCCATCTTCGGCAAATTCAACTTCACCTTAAAAGACCCCGCAGCGGAATTTCACACCTCTGAAATTGCAGAGCTTGCGCTTGAGTTTGACAGCCGCTTGACACAGAAGGCTGAGTTTGACCATGCTGCGGCAAACCCAGTGCTCTTCTTTCGAAACTTCATTGCCAAGCACATGCCTTCGCTCAAAGAACAGATCACTGTGTACGGGTTCAGACACAATCGTCACCCATCAGCGACCAAAGAGGATGATCAGCTGCAAATTGTTCTGAAGGTACCCAAGTCAGCTCGACCCGAACTCTTACAACTGTCT